TGGAGAGTTGTCTTACTGGGCAAATGGGAGAATGCCTAAGATTCAGGGCCATAGAGGGGGCTTATTTGATATGTTCTGGAAACTTTAGAAGGTTCCGAAGGCAGAAGCATACAGTGTAAAAGAGGGAGTAGCTATCAAAATTCACACAGTGGTGGTTCCCCAAAACTAGGAAGGGGGGATCCTATGCTGGCAATGATGTGATGATTCCCAGATTTCTGGCGTGAGCACCTGTGTTTTATGTTTAATGGTTTAGGTACCATTTACGGAATTCATCATAAAATGTTAACATGTTTAGGAAAGAACATGATGGGTAGACATACTGAGGTTTCTATGGGACATCCCAATGGAGGCCCAAAGCTATAGATCCAAAGCTTATATTGGGTTTTAATATATATTTTTTCTTTTTTTTTTTTTCACCTTATTGCTAAAATTCAGCTAATATACATAAGAGTGCTATATTGGTTTGTAAAGTTCTGAAATACTCTGTATTCATCTGTAAATGGCCACAGTCCCTCAAACCCCCAAATACCTCCCCTCCTCCACACCCTAGCTATTCTAACCATTTCTGGGACTGCCATACCACCTTACAGTCCAGCAACTAAAGTGTTAACTACCTGGCCCAAAAGTGGGCCTCCAGGACTCTGTCCCTGCCCTGTGGCTGTCGTGTCTGCTCTCAAGGTTTTGAATATAAAGTCTGATTATAAATATATAGATTATGAAGGCTGAACACATTTCCCACATAACCATGTGCTTAGTCTGTGTCACAGCCTCCTACAAATCTGGTCCTACACTGCCCTTCCAATCTAATTGAGTGCCACTCCTAAGTTCCCTCTGCTTCAGGCAATCTTACCCACTGCTCCCCAACTCCCTGCCTTTTCTCACCTTCATTTCTTTGTATGCATTGCTCAGAAGGACTTTTCCATGATTTCTGAACATTCCATGTTTTATTCATCTTCAAGGTCAGTTCATTTCCCTTTCTACCAGAAAGTCGTCTTCATCTAGAAATGATAATTCATTCCCTCCTTGAACCATAACCACTTTCTTCTTATGGGACATAAACTTCACATTTATATTAGGGCAGGCGTGGGGAACCTTTTCATATTGGAAAGCTGCATTAATGTAGCTGTAATCAAATAAGGCCACATTTGAGAAACTTCAATTAGATATACTTAAATGTATATCATTTTGTAAAAATCTGACTACTATGTACTTAATTCCAAAAAATGAATAGCTATTTGTTAATTTTAAAGTTAGCCTTTTCGTGACTTTGTTGCATTCGCTTTTTGTTGGAAAGCATTTGAATATTTGGTTGCAGCATGGAGGTTGATCCTCTAGATGAGCATCAGCCATTTGTGACCTTAAGGGCATCTTTATTTGGGTTAGGTAGGAGAATGTAGATTCGCAGCAATAAGTGGTTGAAAAGCAAGAAAGCATGTTTCAGTAATGTTGCTGAGGTGTAGGTATTCTACATTTTTCCATATTTCAGCTGGATTTTTCTTAGCATCAAACAATGACTTTAAAATGTCATCTACTGAGAGCTCAGTCAATTCCATCTTTAGGCGCCTTGGTTATATCAGCTAGGTGAAGTTCAAATGCTCATTTGAGTGTGATGTCATGATTCTCAAAGTCAGTGAACCTTTCTTTGTAGTCTTCAATTAATAGATCTATAACAACTGTGTGTTCTTCAAAAGATTTGCATATGCCATTTGCATATGTCAAGATTTGCTAACTGGAGAAAATGTTCATCTGAAATTTCTTCTTGAAGAAGAAGTGTTTTGAAAAAAGATAGATTTTTCCAAAATGCTTGGATTTTTTTTTTTACCACATATCCTATATAGACTTAGTTTTTCCTTGCAAAGAAATATTCAAGTACTTTTGATTTGACATGATATACAGAAAAGCTACATTCCTAAAGAAATCTTCCAATAATTTACATTGCTGATTCTTTTCTTCAGAAAATTTAACTATCTGTTCTCACAGAGATAAAATTTTGGCTAATACCTGTCCCTGCGATAGCCAACACACTTTAGGATGACAGCAAGTACATGCTGAATACTTCATCGATCAACTTTAGCATGTTATGAAACTGAAAATGCTGTGTTGTCATTTTCATGAATATAGTTAATAATATATAACATATAACCTATTGCAAAGTGTCACTTAAAATAAGCAGCTTCAGCACAGAGATTTTGCTGATACAAGTTAAAATGAAAAGACATGAGAGCATCTGTATCTGTTAGTATTTTTTTAAATCTGTGCAATAAACCCTTCATGTTTTCCTGTCATGGAAGGTGCACCATCTGTACATGCATTCACTAAATTTACCAAATTCAGTCCAACTTCACAACATTTATCTTGGAAGTTGTTGAAGATATCTATTCCCTGTTTTGTTTTTTTTTTTTTTTTTTTTTTGAGACAGTCTCACTTTGTTGCCCGGGCTAGAGTGCCGTGCCGTCAGCCTAGTCGCAGCACCTCAAACTCCTGGCTCAAGCAATCCTCCTCATGCCTCCCAAGTAGCTGGGACTACAGGCATGTGCCACCGACGCCCGCGGTAATTTTTCTATACATTTAGCTGTTCAAGTAATTTCTTTCTATTTTTAGTAAGATGGGTCTCACTCTTGCTCAGGCTGTTCTCAAACTCCTGAGCTAAAACGATCCGCCCCCTCGGCCTCCAGAGTGCTAGGATAAAGCATGAGCCACCATGCCTGATCTATTCCGTGTCTGTTCGCAAGAGTGCCCAAAGCTGGTAACTCTTTAGCAAGAAAAATCTGTTATGACCCCAATGAAGTATAAACCTGCACCGAGTCAGTAGTATCAGTAGATTCATCCAAAGCATTGAATAATATATTTGTCTTTTGAAGTATAGCATGAAGTTGTTTTGTAAGTGAAGGCTAATTCGTGCTGCCATCAGTTATGGTTTTCCTTGAAAGAGGCAGTTGTTTGTACTTTGAAATGTTATTGGGTCTCAGAATCCTACAATTCAACAATGGATTCTTTCAGAATTTTAAGTCACTGAATGGTTCCTTTTTCCCAAGTATATAATAAGCTACTTTATAAGTGCTTCAGTGGCATTATTTTCAGGCCTTGTTGCTGCTTGAAATAACTGTCGTTGCTTTTGCTTTTCATCTTTCAATTTCTGCAATGCAATTTTTTTATGCCTCTCCCTCTAATTTAAAATGTCTGTGGTCCTTACAAATATTATAATGCTGATGAGCATTGAGTTTCTTCATTGTTGATATTGCAGTATCACAAAGCAAGCAAATGATCTTAGCTTTAGCAGAAACAAGATAATATTGCAATTCCCAATCCTCATTTAAAAATCTATTTTCTTCCTCCAGCATTCTCTTGGTCTCCTTTGACATGATGGGCTGTTAGACAGAATTTAAAAATGCCGTCGAGCTGTGCAACTACTCACAAATTCACCTTCAAACAGAAACACAGGGCACTGTTGTCCAAAGGGATAACAGACTGGGTACTCGACCCCATAAAATCTGCTTCAGCCCCGTGCGGTAGTGGCGCCAGTCAGGTGGGAGAAGTTAGAACCAAATCATGAGTGTTGGCAGCCTTCAATTTAGCCCTTATGGCTTACTAATATTCTAATTGTGCCAGTCAATCTGGGAGGGTATTTTGTTGAAATTATTCATTCTTTTGGCATTTTTCAATATTGATATGTTCATTTAAAAAAAAAATAAATAAAAGATGAACAAAAATATATTAATAAAAATAAAAGGATTTGTCTTATAAAATTTAAATTCAGTCAAAAGACCACACTTAAGGAACTAAAAGGCTACATGTGGCCCTAAGGCCACAGGTTCCCCATCCCTGTATTGGGGATATATTAATACTTTCTATAAAGTCTTTCTCATAATGGATAGGCAGTAAATAATTGTTGAATGAAAGTATGAAGCTAAATTAAATGACTTTCTACCAATTACTATTGGTATATAATTGCTAGCAATTTCATCAATTCTTTAGAATGCCTACATAGAATAATCTCAGACTTCCCGAAAATCTCCCTGGCTCTAATACCTATTATGTATTTCATCACATGCCAAAAACAAAACAACACAACCACCAAAACCAAACAGATGCAGACACGTTTACGGATTTTCTGAACTAAAGCTTTCGGTACTTTCAGTTGTGTTTTCGTCATCTCCCTTTAATGTAGAATGACAATAGTAATTTTCCATTTTCTGCACTGATTTTTCATTTAATTAATCTTCCAGAAATGCTAGAGCAGACTTTTTCTAAGGGTTTTTGCGCTGTTTGACTTCAGCAAATCAAGCTCCAGTTGTAACACTGGCGGCATGAGATGAGTGAGTGCTTGGGCTGAGACAGAGTGTTTCCCGAGGTCAGATAGACACTAAGAGCAGAATGCTTAATGGCACCCTGGTACCTGTAGTATCTCTCAAACACTCGCTCTCCTGTTGCCCTTCATAGAAGTGAAGTAAAAATCAAACTTCTAACGTTTGGTTAAAGTAACAAATAATTTGCACTCAAGGTCATTGGTATATAAACAGATTTTATTTTCCTAGGCAATATCTAATTGCTTTTTTCCCCCTCTCTTCTTTTAAATAAGATTCAGGCAAAATACAGGCTATGATATGTCCCATGCCTTGGTGTGTTTTGCCAAGCAGCAGCGTCCGGCATTGGCCCTGGGTAGAGGAAGGCGGGAGGCACTGGCCAAGGCCTGCAGTGTGCGTGGGCCGTGAGTGCCAGCCCCGACCTGCTGGCCCGAGCTCTCGGCTGGATCTCACTTTATTTTGTCAGATATGGGGAAAATGAAATTTCCTTGAGATGCCATTTTTCTGTCCCCTGAAACTAAAAAAAATGCTGGATGGAACCAAAGTATCCCGTCTCTTTCCTTTCATCTCCCTTTCTTTCTCATTGATATCTTTTAGTGAAAAGATCACATATCTTCCCCCAGGGCCATGTGTGGAAGGTGAATGCAGATGAAGTTGGGTGACACATACTAACTTTAGGGTCAGGAGGGCGCACACACAGTAACATGGAGGGCAGTTACGCTGCTTCACGCGGCATTTCTCAGAGCAACTGTCAAGGCCAGAATCCTGGCTTGGCTACTCCATTGGCTGTTTCCTCCCTACTGGAATTGGAACTATGTCAGAAGCCAACCCAACAACAGTACCTGTACCCAGCCTGACTCCTACTGCGGAAGTGGTTACTGTGGCACACCACACGCCCTACCGAGTCCTCACGTGGGGCGTGCGCACTCCCACAGTGCCGTGTGTCGGACTTGATTGGAAACTTTAGGCCTCAGTCAGCCCAGGCGGTAAGTGTGTGGGATGTGAGGGGAAAGCTCTGTGCTGCCCTCTGGCATGAGGAAAGTTGGAGGGAGGGTTGGGCTCCCACAGTCACCCTAGTGATGTTAGGGTACGCTCCCAGCTTCCTGTCCCTGTGGCAACAGTTTCCTACAATGGTGTACCCCCCAACACCGTTATTATTGGTATTACTTAGGTACTAAGTTAGTACTAGTACTAAGTGTTAGTACTAGTGCTGGTATTACTGAGTACCAGTACCCATGTACCTTAAAAAGTAGGAGCCCGTTCTTAGTTGGCCCTCTGTAAGTCATCCCCGCTTACCTGCATTTTGATACGCTGTGTTGAATGTGAGCGAAAGGGTTGCATTGTCGCCAGCACAAGGGAGTTGCCTGTAACCCACACTTTGTGCTCCGTGACGTCCTCTGTCATGGGGGTTGTGGGAGAAGCCGCCGTGGCACAAGACCCTTTTGCTCACTGTGTGTCTCTTTCTCCTTCATAATCAAAGAATTAGGGCCCAGGTGTGGACAGTCTCTTTTAACTCTCTTGAGCAGGGGTCCTCAAACTTTTTAAACAGGGGGCCAGTTCACTGTCCCCCAGACCGTTGGAGAGAGTGGTGCACATTCCACGCATGCGCACTGTGGGCCCGGGACCAGTGGGCTGCTAAGCAGGACAGGCAGCGGCTGCAAAAACACCCGGCAGGCAGGATAAATGTCCTCAGGCAGGGTAAGTGTTCTCGGCCGTCTGCATGCCTTGAGTCTCTCTTGCTGGATCAGCCCTATAACCATGCAGCATTATTCTCCTGATGGTCTTTTCTTGCCCTGGCTTTGTTTCCTGTGCTGTGAGTAATTGACAATATATTAGCTATTTTCCAGCTGTGTGATCTGCCAGTTGTTGAGTGGCAGCTGATGGCAACTCAGGACTCTCAAGAAAAGCCCAGGCTGGCTTTCAGAGTTGCATAAGGGATCTTTCCTTTCCTCTCTCACTGTAGCTGGCAACCTTCCAGTTAATGAGCGGGAGAGGAAAGCGCTCAGAGAACCCTACTGTGAAGCCCGGGAGTGGATCTGTATGGGATGCCTCGTGCGCACAGCACGCCACGGCATTTTATCAAGATAAATCACCTGGGAGAGCGGATTCTGCAAGGCTGAGGATTCTGTATGGCACATCCGAGGAAATGCATAAAACATCACGGTAGCGCCAGAAGGTGGAATTAATCTTCCCAGTAGTGGGGCTGTGGGATCCCATTAGAGAACACTCAGTTTATCGTCCGCATGCAGGCTCCTTGCAGACAAGCCCGCAGCGCTATTTGTTCCTCACTGGAGAGTCAGGAGCGTTGAGAAGATGGCACAGTGCGATTTGTGTTCAGAGCGCTCCCGTCATTCAAGTGATTAGAAAATATTTCTCAAAATAACTCTTGTCCCGAGTCAGGGGAAAAAAATGCACATTTGAGGGACCTGGAGTTGCTCGTACGTGGGAGACTCTGTGTTTTAAACTTTTAGGAATTAATCTGCTCACTTTTGCTGAGCTAGAACTACAACCTAGCTGGGATGTGTTTACTAAGTGCTTACTTTGCTCCTGCCACAATTATTAGGTCACATAAGGGGTACAAGGAAACAGAGGACATGAACCCTGCTCTCATGGTTCTTGCAGTCTGCTTGGAGAGAGAACATAAGCATACATTAAAAAAAAAAAAAAGGTTATGATGCAATTCAGATGATACATTATTTGGAGGCACTATATTTTACCAAAATGCCAGGCACCCATCCTGGCGGTTCTTTCAGAGACTGCCAAAGCCTCCGTCTCCACAAAAACCTCTTGGATCACTTTGGAGGGGGGATGATACTTCTCTGAACATGTCTATTTGCGCTTTGCCCCACAGCCTTGCACCACACTTGCTGAGTTTTGTGCCAGTATTAGGAGATAGGTTGGTTTCTGGCCCTCTTAGAAAAAAGGAAAATGCCTTGTCCCATGGTTCTTTGAACTCTAATTTTAAATTGTATACATGCCTGTTTAATGCTTGTAGACCACTTGAAGGTGGTTCAACATTATTTTTTCACTATCCAGAATATTGCATGCTAGTGAGATTTAATGTATTCTGAGATTGGGGTAAAACAGGAAAAAGAAACCTTATTTACATCTTCTAAGTAAATTTGAATTATCCTGTAAAATTTCTAAAGGTCTTTTACTTTCCTCCTCTTTATGCATTTCCTAAAATTCTTTTTCCTCTTTTTCCCATTTTGATTCCATATCCTACTCCTTTTCCATCTTCTCTTTTCATAACAGCTAAGGAATGCTTGTATAAAGTCAAGACATACCCATTCATTAATTAAACAGATTTCTCATGCTAGCTAGCACTCTAACCGCTAATAATTTTTGAGTACTTATTACCTGCTGGACATTCTGCTGGATGCTTTATATGCAGTATCTAACCCTTACAAGGCAATAGGGATGGACTGTTAATAGTATTACTACTATTTTACAGACAAGAGAACAGAAACATTAAGAGGTTATGCAACTTGCCTAATGTCTCAAGGCTAGTAAGAGAATTGAGACTCAAACCCAATGTCTGACTCCAGAGCTCATCAGAGCTTGCAGAATGACCTCTCAATCCAGTCATGTCTGCAAGACACATTTTTGGGGTTTTTGTTTATTTGTTTTGTTTTTAAGACACATTTTTGGAATGCAGCAAAATGGTTAAGAGCATGGCATTTGGAATTAGACAGAATTGGTTTGGATCTCAGCACTGCTAGTGATTAGCTGTAACATTGGGCAAATTATTTCACCTAGTCCTGAGCCTCTGTTTCCTCATCCATAAAATGTGGAAAATAATACCTCACAGAGCAGTTGTGAGATATTACATGTAAAACTCAAAGCCTGGCACATGGCTAACGTTTAATAGAGTTCACTGGTATTATTATTTAAGGGGAAAAAAATAGCATTTGCTCCCTCTGCAACCAAGTTCATTTAATTACAAACATATTTTGAAATATCTTTAACTGTCCTGAGTAACCACTGGGAATTTTTCATTAATGAATGTGTCTAAAGATTCCTTGAATGCATTCGTGTCTGCATCCTGTGCAGCTTCTGGGAGTTAGTAACAGGTTCTAAAATTTCCCACATCAGTGTGTGAAGGAGGATGATTACAGTACTTCCAGTTAATGGTTCCAGAATAGTCTCCTTCCATCTTTCACCTACTACCTTGGTGCTACATAAATACTTCGGCTATTGAGTACCTGCCTGGTCAAGTGTCTGGACTTCAGGCTCAGAGTTAGAGACCTGGTTTCTTTCCTCACTTGGCATCTAACCTTCTTCAGCCAGCTTAACTTCCCTAGTCTGACGTGAAAATCAAGTAGTGACTTCACTGTCACTCCTAATTCCTTGAAACTGTTATTTGAAAGGCACTCAAAAAAATGTCAATGATGCACTTCTGCAGAAATGTATTTGGTGTGTGCAGATTTGATTTCCTTGAACCCAGGCAGAAATTTTATATTGAAGATTAAGCATATGCAAAAAGTAAAGCACAATCCTTTCTTAAAGTTATGCCCCAAATTATGGGTTTTTGAGTTGTGCCCAAAACTAAGCTCGGCAGCCACTAAGGTTTAATAAAGCTTTCTTCTTGCTTTCATAAAGCAGTGGAAGATTTTGTTCAACTCTGATAGAGTTTTGGGGCTTGAGATGCAAAATGATCAAAGCCAAAGTCAAGATCTCAGCAGTACGGACATCAGCTCTGGCTTTGGCCATGTCAGAGGGCTTGTCTAATCCGCTTTGGCAGCTCTCGGCTGTTTTCACACGCGAGGCTTTCTCATCCTCAGTTGGCCAGAGCGACTGCCACACGTGCAGTGGAGTGCAGATTAATAGTTGTTGACTCTTGCATCTAAAAGCCCAACTTACTGGGGAAGTGTGGTCATTTTTCTTGATGGGTGTTTCTCAAATATTTTTTTTGCTTGATCCAGAGTGAGAAATATGTTTTATATCAGAACATATGCATGTATAAAGTTGTGTATACATACACATATACACAAATACACATATATACTGGAAACAAAAGTGCTATGAAATAGTACTCACCCTATTTTGTATTCTATTCTCTTCTCCTCTGTTCTACCTAACTAACGTTAAAGGAATGTTGATCGTGACCCAGTAAATTGATTGCTAGGTCTACTAAATGGGCTGTCACCCACTATTTGAAGAACACTGGCTTTAGGATTCTCCTTAGTCCCCAAACCACCTCATTTCCCTGGGCTTCACATGTCCTCAAAGGAAGACTTTACACCCCCTTTTCAGCTCACCCCTGTACACACAACCCCCACCATCAGACCATCGCCACTACCACCAAGCTCTTTGGACTCCCGGGTAGAGAGAACCCCATCATCATCTGCAAACAAGGATTTTCTTCCCTAGCAAGGCTCCAGCTTTTCCTCTCGGGAGGCCAGAATTGGGAAAACTTTGTGAATTTTGAAAGGCAACATACTCTCCTCCTAAGTTTTTGTGTGTTCACCGGCATCTGGACCCCAAGAATTCCTGTGTTGTGCTAGTGCTAGCTCAGTGCTCTGTGCGCCGTCAGACTGCAGTCAGTACACATTGGCTGGGCACAGTCCCAGATCTGCGCTAAACACGGCTCTTGCGGGGGTAGCACTCAATAACACGGGTGCTGAATTTAACGTGCAGTCCTAAATTGTAGGGTTATTGGGGAGAGCAGGAGTCCAGGCAAGGTGCATGTTCTCGAATATACAAGAAACCAAGAAAAACAGGCAAATGCAGGTTAGCATAATCTGGATATGCTGGGGCAGAATTGATCAGTGACTAAACCTGTCTCTTTGTATCATTGGCCCATAGGTCCGTGGCTGTCCTAGTCCCATCTGACTTTGCCCTTGAGAGTAGAACCTCGGGACTCAGAAGGAATCCTGAGTGGCTGCTTTCGTCCCTGATACCTTAGGCGTGTGTCTGAAGGCAGGTCCACATATTTTACCCAGCATTAGAGGTTCACAGGTTAGTCTTCTCAGAAGCCTGACTA